TTTCGTCGCATACATCAAGGCAGCCCTTTTCTTCCCGTTTTGCGCCATGGCGACGGTGTACGACACCGCCTAGCACCGCAAAAACGTGCAGAGAAAACACCACACACACCCAACAACAAAGCAACCGCTAGCCCGGAATGGCGGCGTGCAAACTGACGCGTCCATGCCGTCGATCGTCAAGGCCGCTTCATTCTACCAGCGCGTCAGGCGCAGGAGATTTTAGTAAATGACTGTATCCGTATCCTTAGAGAGTGAAGCTTGTTGATCTTGGAAGCCATTAAGGGGGGACGCGGCCCTTGAAAACCGAAAAATCGCGAAAAAGTCGTGTTTTGAAAAACCACATTTTTGGGTTGTATGTCTCATAAACTACCTATTCTGTAATTATCAGCACCCAATTCAACCGCAAAGTGCAAAAAAAATACTATTTTCGAGGCCGCCGCGGCGTCCAAAACAGGCGCAAATCCCAAAATCGAACCAAACTTCGCGCGCGCGCCATTCCCGGACAATGCGGTCGTCCCGCGCCATCTTGGTGTTGTTTTGACCGTGAATTCTTTCTCTCTCGTTCGCCGCCTTGCAAAATGGCGTAGGCCGCACAGTTGAGATGCTATTGGCGTTTTCCCGCGATGCGATGCGGAGCGCTGATTGGCTAGAGCAGCGCATTCATATCTCGCGGGAGAAAGCGTGCCCGCCATTGGCTGCTGTGCAGCAGCGGGGGCGGTCGCTCCTCTCGATGGCGCGTCCAGCGCGCTTCGCTTCGTTGTTGCTCTCTGCTCCGTCCGCCTCGACAGGCGTCTGCTTACGAGCCGCTCTTCGCCTTGTGCTATCTTTTCGATCATTTTCTCTCGTTTTTTTTTTTCTTTTTGCACTAGTTCTGTGCCTTTCGTCTTTGTTGTTGCGAGCGATGCCGGCAACGAAGCCGAAGTCAGTGCGGAAGTCCGGTGCGCGGAGGCGCGCTTATGCGGCTTGTACGATCATCGAAATTCCGCTATTCTGCTGCGGGTGCCGACTGCGTAGACGCTTGCAGCGACGGAACTGTGTTGTCGGCTGTCGCCAGTCGAGAATCCGACACATCGAGTGTGGCTGAAGCCGCAAAGGCACAGAGTGTTTCCAAGATCGCCGGGCTCGACACATGCTCCGAATCGATGTTATCCAGTGTGACACCGAGTGCTTCTGATATCGCCGGACCCAGCACTTCGTCTGAATCGGTGCCATCGAGCGTGACACCGAGTGCTTCTGATATCGCCGGACCCAGCACTTCGTCTGAATCGGTGCCGCCATCGAGCGTCAGTGGACCGTCGCTTCATTTGCGGACGCGTTTCCTAACGAAGGGAGAAATCGATGCGAATGCGTAACGTCGTGACGCCGTTCGCGCTGAACTCGCGTCTACGCCGGCGACGCAGAAGAAATTTCAACTGATGCAGCCGGCTCTTGCACCTGCAGTGACAAGTGAGGGCGAACATTTTTCGCTCGTTCAAATGAACATCTTTAATGTCGTGCTCAGCCGCACAGTGTGCAAAGAATGTTTGAAAGGTGCTATGACTGTCCGAGAGAGCACCAAGCTTGGACTTGCAACAAAACTTGAAGTCGTGTGCGCCTCTTGTGGCACCGTCGATAAATTATGGACATCACCCCGCAAAAAGGACACGCAGGCCTTCGATGTAAATGTCCGCGCCATAATGGCTATAAAGCAAATAGGCAAGGGGCAAACAGCTCTTAATGACTTTTGGGCTGCCATGAACGTCTCTTACAGAGATCTTCACCGCAAGACGTTTCAAAAGCACTTGAAAGAGACGTTCAGGAAGCCAGAGGCCACCGCTTTGGAGAAGTTTTATGCCGATTCTGCCACAGCAGTGATCAAAACATATAAAGAAATGGACCCCAGCTTCTGCAAGGACATCACCGTAGTGTACGATGGCACATGGCATAAGCGGGGTCACACATCACACATCGGAGTGAGATCGGTAATTGACTTCTTTACAGGTCTCATCTTGGATGCTGTAGTTCTTTCAAACCACTGCCTTGGATGCCAAACAGGGCCCAAACCTGGAGATGCAGCATACGAAAGCTGGCAGAAGCACCACATTTGCCAGAAAAACACAGACGCAAAATCGGGAAGCATGGAAGTGGAGGCAGGCTTGACTCTCTTTGGGCAGTCTGTATCCAAGCATGGCCTGCGGTACACCACTCTTGTGTCCGACGGAGACAGCCATACCTTCGCTGCCCTCACAGAAGAGAATGTGTACCGGCTAGTGCCAATTGTAAAAGAAGAATGTCTGAACCATGTTCAGAAAAGGATGGGAAGTGCTCTTCGAAACATTGTGCAGAAAAGTGATAAGCCACTGAGTGGGAAGGGGAAGCTGACTAAAGCCCTCATTGAAAAGCTGACAGGATATTATGGTTGGGCCCTGAGAAACAATTCAACTGACCTAACAGGCATGCAGCGTGCAGTGATAGCAACATATCACCACGTCACATCGACTGACCAGGACCCTCACCATGAACTTTGCCCAGAGGGGGCTCAATCGTGGTGCCACCATAGAGCTGCAGAGGCAAAGCGTGAGCCACAGCCAAAACATAAACACAGCCTACCGGACTATGTCGCTGCAGCTATGCTGCCCATCTACGAAAGACTATTTATTTTATTTATTTATTAGAATACCCTCAGGACCCGTAGGGCATTACAGAGGGGGTGGGTACAACATATATAACACACAAGAAAAAAAGACAAAATAAAGAAACAAGTATCAGATGCGCAAATCAGGAAGGCAACATAAGTCAACTAAAAATGTATAAGAATTCAAGCACATACAAGACAAAGATAGATAGTGGAAACTGCGTATAGTTACAAGCATTGCTGAGAAATTGCAGTCTTGAATAACAAAGGGTCTGTTATTGATACAACGGAAGAGGGAAGGTGGTTCCAATCGGCGGCTGTTTTCGGTAAGAAGGCTCCTGAAAAGAATTTGGTGCGGCAAAACGGAATGGCAACCTTATGCTGATGATCAATGCGCGACGAGTGGTATGACGGTTGTGAAATGAGGTCTCGCTTCATTGATGGATTGTGAAAAAATATCTTATGAAAAAAATGCAGTCGCGCCAGTTTCCTCCGGACAGTTAAATTGGGTAGGTCAAGGTTAGATTTCATTTCTGATATGCTAGCAGTACGGGAATAATTAGAACAAATGAACCGAACTGAGCGGTTCTGAACAGATTCTAACGCGTTAATTAAATTTTGCTGCACGGGATCCCATATAGCGGACGCGTACTCAAGCTTTGGGCGAATCAGTGATCGGTATAATAGAATTTTGAGGGACAGCGGAGCGCGAGAAAAGTTGCGGCGTAAGTATCCTAGCGTTCGGTTAGCGTTATTACAGATGTAGGTAACATGCGTGTGCCAAGATAGATTGTTGGTAATGTAAACGCCGAGGTACTTATATGAAGAGACATGCTGGAGGGGAACGGCGTTAATTCTGTAGGTACAGGGGGGAGAAGTAGATCGCCGGGTTATTGACATGCATTTAGATTTGTTAGAGTTGAGTGTCATAAGCCATTTATTGCACCAGGTTGAGACAGTGTCAAGGTCTGACTATCACAAAAGTCGCTTCTTCAGCGCTGCCTGGGAGCGAAGACGCAAAATGCATCAGAATCATTCCACTCCATTCTGTGGTCTCTGATGCCGAAGGAACACCACTCATCCTTGATCGCGGTAGAAACAGCACTGCATGAAGCAGTGCTGCGCTACAATGCCGGCTGCTGCAAAGCAACCCAAGTGATAACGGACTCCATTGGACTTCAACCAGGTCATCTGGCCATCCAGCGAGCTCGTGAAAAAGACGCTTTACGCCTAAAAAAGAATTCTAAAAGACACCAAGAGAAGATGGAGGCCAGGCAAAAGAAGAAAAGAGTGCGCCAGGACACTTCTAGCTACTGTGCTGGAGCTTTTTGAAGAAAACACGTGTTTTGAACTTTCTCGGCCTGTTTTCTCAGAACGGATTTTTTTGCTAGTTGTGGTGCTGAGGAAAGCAAGAACTCGAAAACCGTTCATCAGATTTGTGTGCCGTTTTTTTTTTTATTCTGTTCCTGAATGACCCTGCAAGGGCGTAACAAGCTCCTTTTTTTGAAAATTGGTGCTGTTAATTTATAATAAACAATTAATTTTTGATGAATCTGGTCATTACTGGTTACATCAAATTCAAAGTTGCGTGAAAATTTTTTTGGGGGGGGGGGGGGGGAATTAAAAAAACGGCTTTGTAGCGCCCTGGGATAGCTATCAAGGAATGACCACAATGAATTTCAGCTTTCTACTATGTCCTGGGATTTCTCACGACTCTTCCTCAGGCACCCATGTGAAGCGCCCAGTTAAACCTCAATAACTCTGGAACTAAGAAACACAGCTTCGTGAAACTTAGCAGTTGTGCTAGTTTTATTGTAGTGAACAACCCCTGAAAGTTTCATCCAGATATCTTGAAAAATAAAAAGTTCGGTCTCCAGGGTAGCCTCCCCCCTTAAAAAAAAAATAGTCATTGGCCGTCTACACCTCTAAACCGCGTAAGGCGCTACAGGTGCATCGTATATAAATGCGGGTCCGCCCGACTACCGCTGTGCTGCGGAGAAGCAGAACATGAGCTCCCGAAGCGGTCCGGGAAATTCGGACTATCCATTGCGCGCTCGAGTTCGTTCACTATAAGAATGCCAAAATACATACAATTCTTTATACTTTCTGTTAGTTCATTATATCCATGTTTGTTATATCGAAGTTCAACTGTACTTGCGTATTGATGTTGCACCTCAGATATGTGTGATATTTGCTTTTGACCGACAATGTTCATAAGTACGAATGCAGCCACCGGATTAAGTTGGTCAGGTGTTGCGCAAGGGCTTAAGCTTTTGCCTGGTGGCTGAATCATGCAACAGACAGACTAAAATTTCTGCCATGAAGTATCCCAAGAAAGCTTTTATAAAAAAACGGCACACTGGGTATCAAAGAGTGGTGGACTCACCAGTGGCTGGCTTCTTTTCTGCCTTGTCCTCTTCGGCAGCCGAAGCAGTCTCCATGGGCTCTTCCTCTGCTTCTTCCTCCTCCTCGTCCTTCTTCGTCTTGTCGGCCTCCTGCTGGGCCTTGCGTCGCTTGGACGCTGGCTTCGATTCGGGCTCAGGCTGCTGAGCCCCTCGTTTGGTACCCCTTCGTCGGCTAGGGGTGGGAGTCTTATCTTCTTCCTCTTCCTCCTCCTCCTCTTCCACCGCTGCTGCGGATGCACCACCACGGCTGCCCCGCGTGCCCCGCGTGCTGCGCTTGGGACGCTCCTCGGCCGCGGGCGTCTTGCGCAGTTCGGCGGCTGATTTGCGGCCTTTCCGCAGAGGCCTCACCACTTCCTCCTCTTCATCCTGCGAGTCCATTGGGGCATCGTGAAAATCCGCAACCCATCTCAAACTGTGCTCCAATGACGCTGCACTTTGCCAGACGTAGACCAATAAAACATCATGGAAACACGAACACCGAGCTATGCACAGTCAACACCGCCTCATTTTCTTCTGACAGAGCTTCCTGCAAGTAAATCTAGGTGTCGTTTCTACAAAACATCATGTGAGCAATCAAAAGGAAATACTTCTATAATACAAAATAAAAGGTATGTGTCCTCGATCCTGGGCTTCAGAATCAACCTTTATAGTTTGATCTCATGGCAATTAAGTCATCTTCAGTGCACGTGCAATCATGTAGCAACAGTCAGCATTATTGAACAGTGCCCTCTAATATGAAACTTGGTAGCTTCTATTTTAGTCTTTAATGCCCGGGTTACGTGGCAATGCCACAAGGCTTTCCAGGTGTGTACATGTTACACATCAAGATACCAACAGAATACATGCCACTGGCTCTTAATAACGGCTTTTCATAAAGACAGGCGTTGCAACAATACATTTTATTGGGAGTATTTCGGGAGAGACCCGCTTAGATAGTCGACACGCTCATCATGATATAATCGTTGGCTATTGCTCGTGCATTCAATGGTAGCTGCCATCAAGCACTTCCAATGCTCATCTTCGCAGGCATTGCTCCACTTGCACAAAAGTTCGTAATAATGGCCGGCCAGCCCCTGCACTTTGTAAGAAGGTCCTTAGAAGCCCGCCCCCCACATAGTTAAGCTTTATGCAACAAACTATTGTGCTATGTACTCAACAAGTGGCAGAAGACTAGTCACTACAGTTGAGGTGGTTGGTTGGCCGCTGAGTGTGCTAAGTTCTATGGGGACTCATCCAGTATTTACTGTGCTATACCTTTACTACTTTCAGAACAAACACACATTAACAGATGTCTCTGTGCAATCCAAAGAATATAACGATGCGCAACCTAGCAAATGCCCAAAAGCAAATTAAATGAGCGTGACATCACACTATGGCCTGCAGCGGCAGTGCCCACCTCGTCTTCGTCCTTCTTGGTGGCCCGCCGGCTCCGGCGGCCTGTAGTAGCCGCTGCAGCCTGGCCCCGCGGCGGCCGCCCCGAACCCCGTGATCCGCGGCCAGCAGCTCGCTGCTTGCGGGTGCCGTCCCCAGAGTTGGACTCGTTCTCACTGTCCTCGTCGGCACGGTACTCCTCCTCTTCCTCCTCTCCCTCGGCACCGTCACTCTCCTCGTAGTTCACCTGTGTCCCCGCACGACCAGGCAACCCACCCCACGAAGTGCGTTGGTCCATGTTCCAGCACAACGTAATCACCGTTTGAGCAGTATAGTCAAAATATTTCCCCTAATGCAAGGAGGACTTTGCGAGACATTGCCGGCAGCTAGTGACACTGTCTTATGGGACAACAAACCGAAGGGTTCAAGTTCACTTGCCCATTCAGAAAAAGCTGAAGCTCGCAAGATTGACCTCAACTTTTTATGACCAGCAAAGTCGACCCACCATTTTAGACCTCCGTAAAAAGCCTTCACTGTGTCTTTGATTCACTATATGGTGTGGAGAGCATAAGCAGTATGCACTTGACGTCATCCGTCAGGATCGCTAGCAGCGAAGTCGTCCTATTGAAAGTCCGTGCACTCGCCGCACATGCAAAAAACTCACTGAAGCTTTGTGATTGATAAGGCGGCTTAAGGGAGGAGGTGGCATTGGAAAAACTTTTTTATTTGTTGACCTACAGCAATGAAATTCGGCATGCATACTCGTAAGTGTCTCGAATAGGGAAATATGAAAAGTTTCATCATGATAGCTTCAGTAGTTCCTAAATTACATAATGCTACATGGTCCAATTACATGGTGTGCTCGTGAAAAGCCTAAGCGCTGTAACAAAACATGCCAGGAAGCTGCGAATCATGTTGATCTTTACTCAAAAGAAAGCTACAGAGTATGGCACTCTCAGAATTTTTTAATAAGTTCTCTTTTTTTTTTGTTTAGATATCATCATGGCTGCTGACACACATTGTCAGAAACAGTGGCATGGACAAATCATCGTCTAGAAAAAAAACGGGGCCATAAAACAAAAATTGAAGATTGCTGTACCCACAAGCAGTGTTCGGGGATTCAGGAAAAAAAAAAAAATCAAAATCGGTCCAGTCATTCCCGTGCTACTCTTTCCACGAGCAATGCACAATGTCCAAAACACACTTGTGAGGAAAAGCCTGTCGAAGTTTCCGACAGGTTTTTTTCAAAGAACTTTTTGTTTCTCGTTGGATATTGATAAAAATTGGCACAGACACTAAAGAATGACCTCACAGTGCTTCCATAAAAATTTTGAAGCGATACCACAAATACTTTACAAGAAACAAATTTATTTCTTCATTGAACCATGTGGAGGGGCTGAGCAAATTGTCAGAAAAACAGTATTGAGAAAGCTGCGTTTAAAGTTTCAACTTTTCTTTACGTCTCTAAGACACCTAAAAATTGTGACCTCAGTTTTGTCTTGTGATATTTGACTTCTTTTCATGATTTACTCCTTTTCATGACTTACAAAGAACAAGTATGGATTTCAAACCAAGTTCTTTGTATGAAGGAGTGATGTGATAGGTATGACAGAAAAGATTGTAATTGAATAAAACCATATACTGAAATTATCACACATAGTTTATTTGTGTTGAAGTTGTAATTGGCGTAACTGAGTACTTGATTACAAATATTCACTGAACTTTTCTTTATTTGAAGAGAGGTTTATTGCATCAGAAAAAAATGGATCACACCATGAAGGCCTATGCCTTCTTTCCAAATAACAAAGTTATGGGCAGAAGACTGGTGGCACAGGAGTGTCTAGCAGTATAATTAATGACAAGAAACGGGCATATAAAAATTCGTGCCCCTGATTCATACACGCTCTTTCGCCGCTCTAGCCGTGAAACGCATCATCATACAGCCGGTCATGGAAACTCTAAGCTACAGCAATTCATTAACCTCGGAACATTCATAGACGTTCGCGGCGATATCAAGCACAGCTCCAAGCACATCTGAATCGCATCACAAAAGCTTATTGACAGCACTCCATATGACCGTGGGGTGCGCGGCCGCGTGGACAGTGCAGCCGGCGCGCAATGCACTTGCCGGCGGCGTTCGATGACGATGCGCGAAAGGTGTAAGTAATACGATGACAAAAAAATCGGCGCGAACTGCACTTGGCATCGCATTTTCGAATGACGACGCGCGAAACTGCTAGCCGCTGTTCTGAGCAATCCTTGGCAGTGAAGGGTAGGGGGGTGACGAGCTTGACTGTGTTGTCCGTTGCCGATGCGTAAAATGCCAGTACGTGATTCAGAGGAGCTAGCGAGTGACGTGGTACATTCCTTGCGAAGAAGCACGTCGTCAAGAGTGCGCTTGCGCATCGTTGTTGCCCGCAGTCTCGCTGGCGGCGGAGTTAGGGCTAAAGCCGACACCAATGACGCGCCGCACTCGTAGACCGCTGCGCGCCCGCTCGTAGTAATCTGATTGTGCATCCGGTGCAGCCACTCGTAGTAATCAGATCGTGCCGCCGCTTACAGCTTAGTTGCTTAGCTTCGTTGCTTGCGAAGAAGCACGTAGCCACGAATGCGCTAGCGCGTCGTTCCTGCCCGCAGTATCGCTGTCGGCGGAGTTAGGGCTAAGGACGACTCCGATGACGTGCGGCGCTCGTAGACCGCGCGCCCGCTCGTAGTAACCTGATCGCGCATCCGCTTACTGATCGTAACTAAAGTGTAATTATATCTTAAGTGATTATCAAGCCGTAAACACGTCACGAAGTGCCGATTTTCGAGAGCCATGTCCTCGCGACGCACAAGCAGCAGACGATCTCTTGGAGCGAGCATCGGGCCAATCAATGGCGAGGCGAGCTGAGGCAACATGGCGGCCACGGCCAATCAAGGGCCACAAAACGACCTTCATACATTTGGTATTTGCTCGCTTGTTGTTAAAGGGAGGAGCCAGCTGAGGCGGGAAAGTTAAACACGGAGAAATGCTCTTTCCGATGAGCCTAAGAAGCCTGCTCCCGGCCCAAACATCGCGAAGCTATAATTTTTTGAGAATCGCTGTTTTTCTCGCCATTTCCAGGCTACCTAGGTAGGTGAAACGAATTTTCCGAAGCACTTCTGTGCGGTTTTCAGTGTAGATATTTTGGAACCAGATAGAAAAAGGGCTCCAGAAACTGAAAACTTGAGATTCAAAAAATCGATTTTTTGCCATTTTTTGCGATCCCGAAGCCGCGTCCCCCCTTAAATGACTGGAGACTTCCCGAATGTCTCTTGCGCACCAACGGAACTTCAAATTTGCGCGGCGATGGTGTTGCCACATTGCGGGTCAAGGCTAGTGCATGCCCGTATTGAATTAAGAAAAATACTGAGCATCACTAGGTTCTTTGTTTTTGTGCTCCTTAATGCACCGAGTTTGCTGCCTATATAGTATCAGCCAACAGGCATATGCAACATGAGGCTGAAAGCAGCTACAGTGTAATGTGCAAGTAGTAAACATTCGAGAATCCATAAAAGCAAATGCTGATAAAAACAGACCAATTATGGTCGCATGAACAGGTCAGCATTCTGCGCAGGATTCTTCGCCAGTGAAGGAAGTGCACTGGAGAACTGCCCTTATGTGGGTGCTTTCTCAACACAATATTGGCTACTTTTGATTTGCAATCTACCACGGAATGCTACACCAGAATCATTAACAAGCGATACTCTGTAAGTATCTACAAGGCAGGCCAACGTGAAATATACTTATTTCAGGCCACAAAATAAAATATCCATGAAGATACTAGACATTTAAAATCTATAACGCTTTTTCAGGTGATCAAGCATCCACAACAGTCACAATAATGCCTTGAACACAACGATCAACACATATATCAAATCACAGTGATGTGCACTGCCACCTTATGCAAAGCCCTTTTCCATCCGAAAGCTGAACCCTTGCACAAGTGCACCCGGGGGATGGAATCTCAAGACAAAAGCATGCTTGTGTTCGACCATAAAATCTATTTCAAACCTTTTGGAACAGTTCAGCATGAACTTGTGCTAACAGGCTAAACTGGACTCTGGATTTTTTACCTTCGTGGTAGGTGCGCGCAAATTACGGTCCAGTTCAAAGCTAAACGAAATGCAATTTGGGCAGCCTCCATGATGAAAGTCAACAATGGGGAGCAAAATTGGAAAGCCTCCCGTCATTACTATTTTCCCAAAAGTGATGTACTCCTCGGTGTGTAGAAAGCTGCCTACACGTGGTCTGAAAACTTGATATGTAGTGAAGAGGAATGCCCACTACCGCAGCGACATCGACAAGATGGCGCGAGGCGCGAGGTAGGACTGCCTGGTTGCTGCTGCAACGACGCTTGTATACTCGGCCAGCTCTTGCTGCTTCTGTACGGACGCTGCTACCGCTTTTCGCCTTGCATTTACATTATATTTTGGTGGAGGCTGCTGCGGTTTTCCCCGACCCTGGAATTGCGTAGCCGAAAGCTGTCGTCCGTCATGCCTGATGACGCTGTCTTCACACACCCCCGGGCTTCGCCACCCAGGGGCTGTCCCGGTGCCCACCTCCTGCAAGAACCCGACATCTTCAGCGGCACAGACGAGAAAGATGTTGAGGATTGGCTGGAATTCTATGAATGAGCCAGCGCTACCAACAAATGGGATGATGCCATGAAACTCGGTATTGTGATGTTTTATTTAACGGATGTCGCTAAGCTGTGGTACAGAAACCACGAGTCGGACATTCCTAATTGGACGACCTTTCAGACCTGCATCGCAGCTATCTTTGGAGGCCCTCAGGTACGCAAACTTGGCCCGGAACAACGGCTACGAAGCCGGTCCCAACAAACTGGTAAGACATTCACCAGCTACGAGGACATCCTCGACCTCTGCCGGTGTGTTGACCCGACAATGGTGGAAACTGAAAAGTTACGACACACTATGAAAGGCATTTCTGACGACGCCTTTGAAATGCTCCTCTCAAACCCTGCCACTGTCTCGGAGCTCATCGAGCTGTGTCAGAGTTTCGACGAGATACGATGACAGAGTTTTCTCATGCGACGCCCTAACATCCCAGATGACACCCTCTCAAGCCTGACAACCACCTCTGACCTTCAGTCACTGGTATCGCAGATCAAGGAGTTTGTTAGCGCTAAGGTCGCTCGTCAGCTGTCGCTGCTATCAACAGCCGGCCAACCACCATCACATCTGCCAGCAAACATTGGTGAGGTCATCCAGGAGCAAGTTTGCGCCGCTCTGCCCCGCGACACTTCGTCGTTGCCGACCCCTGTGGCCTGTGCCGAGGTGAATGCACCTCTAAGCTATGCCGAGGTTGCCGCAAGGCCACCTGTTCAGACTTTCAGGTCACTACCATCAGCCATGCCCACACATCGGTTCACTCAGACAAGGTCCCTCCAGAGTAGTGGACAATCGCGTACACCCGACAATCGGCCAATATGCTTTGCCTGTGGAATGCCTGGCCACATAGCGCAGCCACACTGCTGTCGGCGTGTCCCTGCCTTGCAGTTCACCATGCACTTTGTTGGTTATCTACGTTGAAGGACCCCTCCATCCGTCTAAGCTCGCTGGGCTTTGCGATTGCAAGAGTTTGACATGCGTGTTCCCTACAGGTCTGGCCAACGTCACACTGACGCCGACGCCCTATCGCATTCACCTGTATCATCGGAAAGCTCTGCCCGTCTATCTGCCATGGACGAAACGGTTGCGTTTCCAACAAACTGCGACATGGCATCTGAGCAACGTAAGGATGACTGCATCAGCGCTCTTCGGCGATTCCTTTCAGACCCATTGACTTCTCCATCTTCTCGAACATTGCGTCGTCAAGCGGTTCACTTGGAGATCCGCGGTGACCTCCTTTATCGCAGGAATTACAAGTCTGATGGCCGAAAGTGGTTACAGGTCATACCTTGTTATCTTCGTGCTGCAATGTGTTCAGCTTTCCACGCTGACCTTCAGTGCGCACATGCGGGCATCTTCAAAACACGCTCGGCTTTCCTCCTGGTTTTATTGGCGGGGCATGTACACCTTTTTGCGCAAGTACATTCAGTCATGCCAGCAGTGCCAATGACGGAAAGCTCTGCCTCATCACACCTCCCGTCCGATCCAGCCAATCCCTTGCCCAGTCAGGCCTTTTTAGCGCATTGGAATCGATCTGTACGGGCCTCTTCCATTCACGGCTTCCAGAAACCGTTGGATCGTTGTCACTGTCGACTACTTGGTGCGATACGCAGAAACAGCCGCTTTGCCTGCTGCCACAGCTCGCGACGTATCATCTTTTCTCCTAGGGAACTTCATTCTCCGTCACGGTGCACCGCGTGAGCTTCTCCGCGACAGAGGACGTGCATTCCTCTCCGAAGTGGTCAATGCACTCCTTTCAGAATGCCGTATCATTCACCGGACTACCACCGCCTACCATCCCCAAACGAATGGCTTGACGGAAAGATTCAACCGTACCCTTGGCGACATGATATCTAAATTATGTTGCTTCAGACCACTCTGATTGGGACCTCATTCCGTCTTTTGTGACATACGCATACATTACTGCTCCACAGGCGACTACGGGCTTTTCGCTATTTTTCCCGTTATATGGACGAGACCCTTCCACTACACTAGATACCATTCTGCCCTACCACCCCGATTGCTCCGAGTCTACGCCCATCTCTGAAGCTGCCCGTCGCGCCGAGGAATGCTGTAACCTCGCCCAGTCGTTCACAACCATTGACCAATGGAGACAAAAATCTCGGCCTGACGATAACCACTCATACCCTAACTTTGTTCAGGACATACTTGCGTGGCTTTGGGTTCCAGCTGTCCCTACAGGCCTTTCTTAGAAATTTGTTTCAAAATACCAGGGACCCTACCGCATTGTCACGCAGACTTCACCTGTTAACTACATCGTCGAACCCGTTACACCATCCGCGAACAAGCGCTTTCGGGGTCATGAAACCGTTCACGTACAGCAGTTGAAACCATAATATGATCCGCTCGTACTCTGTTCTCCATGAGTCGCCAGGATGGCTCTTTTTCCGACGGGGGACAATATGTATTGAAGAGGAATGCCCACTACCGCAGCGACATCGACAGCTTGGCGCGAGCTAGGACTGCCTGGTTGCTGCTGCGACGACGCCCTACCGCTTTTCGCCTTGCTTACATTATAGGCATAATATCCATTAACAGACAGATACCAAGAGTCTTAAGAAAATTAGGCAATCTATGTACCAAACTGATTGAAAGGTTGATTTTGTGATTGATCCTGCTTAAATGTGTACCCTTCAGCCAAAGGAAAATTTCACTGGAACAGTGTCCATTACAGGCGAAGGCAAACTCACCGGCCCTGACGTTCGACGAGCGCTCTTGACCCGTGTGGCCGGTGACTCAACGGGCGAGCTGCGGCGACCCTCTGCTGTAGATGCAGCTGTCTGCGCGGCCGTGGAGCTCCGGCGTGTGCGTCCTCCAGTGACTGCATAGTCCGCTGCTGGCTTGGCTGCTGCACGTCGGCTGGACCGTCGTGGAGCCCCTTCCTGGAACATGTTGCCCCAGCCGCTATGACAAGCATCGCATCTACAGCCATTCTCAAACCCCTAGCTTCCATCTTCAGCTGAGCCAGTTATAGTTCTCCAAATGTCACTTTACAATTACTCAAACATACTTACATCACACTGCAAGTGCATCACACTGCAGAACTCTGGGATACTATCTCTGCACATGTACCACCATCACTGAACACATGACAAGCAGAGTCAAGCTGTGCAGCTCTCACGTTTCCCATCAAGTCCGTACGTTGCAACGGCTATTCATGCAACATATGACTGCCGCATGAGAAGTAACAATAAATGAGATGAAAAAGTACCCGAAGCAGAGATGTACTGTTTGCCAAAGGTGATCACAAACCCACACGATTCCACGAAAAAGCTATCCGAAAAGAGCAGAACACGGCTCACGCGCACAACAGGACGGACCTCACACTGAAAACCGTACGTGTGTGTGAGCATCACTTTATAACAGGTAAGTTAGAGACATGTTATGTTTCCAAATCTCGTGTCAAGTTGTTTCACCCATTACGTGCGACACCGTGGACTCTGAAACTGCACACACGGAGGATCCAAGTTCGCCAGTCAACACTGTTTCATTGCTAGCTGCATAATGTCCTGAACTGTTCTCCTTTGTCATGTGCGCAAAGTAAACTTTCAAATCATGAACACTACGCCAAACCATCTGCCGCAAGAACGTAAACGTGACGCGGTCACAGTATGTGACCCGTTGCTCGGCCATGGCAGTTGAAATAGAGAAACTGACTTTGCTTGTGAGTTATGTAAAAGCAAGAATGTGCTCCTGTACTTTTTAATTTGGACATGGAGTTCCCATAGCAAGGAAATATCTGCCACAGCAAGGAGCATCCAGCTAGTGAACACTGCGGTCGTTATAACTTATCTGCTACCCTAACACTCTATAGGGAGCTTGCATAAACGGCGGCGACGCTATGGACTCTGAGTAGGCAGCCATTTTTTCGTCAGAGGCGGCCGGGGAGAGCAGTCATGTTCGCGAGCGTTGGCATAGCTTGCAGCGTGACACAAATCGAGAGCAAGCGTGACACAAATTTGACTCCAAGAAGAGTCGTGCGCGATGTCAGCCTCACCGGAAGACTATATTGCACCGCTGTGCCAGAAAGACCTCGAGCGGTACGAAGAAGAGACGAGAATTCACTCCGAGTGGACCCACTCACGCTTCGTGCGGGCGACTGTGCAAGCGACGTGCACTTGCGGCCGCGCGTCTACAGCTCCAATATTCATTAATTTTTCATTCCGAGGACGAGTTTGAAAACCTGGGAGCAGATGATGCCCAAAAAAGCCCTTGAGGATCACAAATTTGTGAAGAGTGGCCGGGTGTGGGAGCCGTGAGTGAAGAAAGTAGCCACTGATCTCGTCGTCGTCGCCATTCATGTAAGAAGTGTTAAATTGAGGAGCGCTCTTCTCGTGCATGTACATCGTACTCTACGCAGATTAACAGTGCAGCGGGATGCGGGCAGGCTTCGCTGTTCCCGGCCATGCATGTGCAGTGCACGGCAACACCTCGCCATCACTTCTGCCCATGAACGAGACGTCGACGGGGGGGGGTGCTTGTTAACACACTGGGAGTTTAACCTGAACAGAAAACTGTTAGCATCTATGGCAAAATCAAGTAATTTAACACTTCTTATTTAAGTGACAACAATTAGGTATCAGCGGCGAATTTTTTCACCCACGGCTCCCACAACCAGCGCCTCATCACAAAATTATGGCCCTTGATTCTTATCTGGACTTCAACAGCTCCCGGATAATCAAACTCGTCCTCGGAACGAGAAATTCGTGAATATCGGAGCTGTCGACGCGCGGCCGCAAGTGCACATCGCTTACACAGTCACCCGCACGAACCGAGAATGGGTCCACTCAGAGCAAACTCTCGTCTCTTTTCCGTACCGCTCGAGATATTTCTGGCACAGCGTTGTAGTGTAGTCTTTCGGTTAGGCTCACATCGTGCACGACCTTTCTTGGAGTTGAATTTGCATAGCGCTCGCACTCGATCACGCCTGAAAGCTACGCCAATGGTTGCAAACACGACTGTGCTGCTGCACTCCCCTACCACCTCTGAAAAAAAAAAAAAAAATGGCTGCCTACCCAGAGTGATTAGCGTCGCTGCCGTTTATGTAGGCTCCCTATTATGAGCTCGTCACATGACCTCGTAACTGACTCCTGTTACAACTGGGGTATTGAAAGCATTCGTAGTTCTTAAACGACCAGCTGCATTTCAACTGCATCTTTTTTTTTTTTCTGGAGAGGTAGAAGGGTTTGCCTAAATATCGAATGACATTTTAGGGCGTGCCTTTCAGTGCAAGAATGAAAACTATGACAAAAATTGGCAGCGTGTCGGCATGTTTCACTGCAAATGTTGTCGAAAGACTGTAGTCTTGTCTAGAGAGAGAATAAAACATTATTTTGATGTTCTGCGTGAGAAGATAGTTAAATGAGATCCCGGAGGCGCTGCATGAGACAAAAGCGCCATCTAACAGTGATCTTATAAAACAAAAGCAACTGCACAACGCAGAGCCATAAGTAGGCGGCAGCATCGCATCGTATTTGCAAAGTGCAGGACGCACCCGCCTTTTCATGAATAGCGTCACATTGTCAGCACAGCATAATCAACACTGTAGTTTTCAGTATTATGCATCTATGCATGTTCCAGTATAAGTTACACACCACCAAATATTGACGTTTTGATATTGCACCTCAGATATGTGTAACATTTGCTTTTTGATTGACAATCCACACAGGTATGAATGCAGCCACCGGATCAAGACGGGTGGGCATTCGGGAAGTGGTTGAACTTTGACCTGGTAGCTGAATCATTTGGTTGACAGACAACCAGGGTCAGACAGACCGATAGTTTAGCGCTGAAGTATCGGAGAAAAAGACTATGGTCTGCAACTGAGTATTGGTGGAAATAAACCATTATGATTATTATTAAAAGTTGAACCAGCATTCCGAATTTCGGTCGTGTTCAAGCGAGGTGGCATACCCTATTGTACTCTTACTTTATCTACAAATGAGCAAGGTCGTAAACCACCTAATCAGCGACGGTCAAAATGACAACGTCGCCACTTGAAAAAATGAAAACACGCGCGCGCTGCGTGGTGGCGACACCAACGCCGCCTGGCGGAAGCGACACTCCCAGCTCTGCCAGGGTTGCCGAACCTCTCTCGCTCACTTACCGTAGCGGCGGCGGTCTCGTCCGACTTGCCGTCCTCGGCGGCCGGCGCCTCGGCGTCCTGCTTGGCGGCTCGCGCAGTCTTGCGAGGCATCCTGATGGCTGGCTCCTCCGGTTCGGGCCCTCAGGGGCAAGTGCGCATAGATTGTAGCACCGCGCCTGTCGGAACAACACACGCGACGGTTATCACACAGCTGCCACCGCATCACGCCAGGGGCGCGAAACAAGCACAAAACAAAACGCACCGTAAACAAACCGACGCGGCGGCGCACGAACGTCCGGAAAGCTTCGGCTCGACAAGCAATCAAACATTGAATCCACAGTACTGCAAAATTTGCCCATAGTCCCGCGTGGAACACGTTACTTTACGATCAAGCACTGTAGCGTTACGTTTTTCGACCAAGCCGCGTGATTGCGCTTGGCAAGCGCGGAAATGGCGGCAAAATTCGTGCAAAAAATGACTCCGCCACTTGGGTAGGCATTTTCGGCGACGGTGTTGAGCCCGCCCAACGGTCGCGCGTCACTCCGCAGCCGCTCGCGCACGGCATCGCGACGGCGAGCGCGGACCAAAGCCGTCGGTAGGTTACGCGCCGGGAACCTTTCCGAGCTCGGCGATCAACCGAACACATAAGCCTAACGAAGCACAACTTAGGCTTAACGTGCTACGAACCGAAGGCGACGGCAGCGTTACTGCACGCGCAAAGCGCGCCCGTGTCATCCGACTCACTTGAAAGACGATGAGACACTCTCTAGCGAGACGATAAATCCGGTGGTCGAAGAAACGTCCGCCGGCGGTTCTGTGTTCGGGAAACAATTTCGGCCACTTAATCCACTTTTGAATCCAACGCCATGAAGAAACCTCCTCGATGCCCCAGAACACAAACAGCGGCTACCTACGGCACACACAAGCCACTTCCGTACAGAGCGGCGCAACGTGTTACGTGCCGAGCGTGCTCCTGTGTTCGCTTCCGCGGCTTTAGCCCTTCTCACGCACGCTGAATGCGCTGCTAGAAAATAGAGCCTTAGCTAGCCGCGTATTCGGCCAACAGAAGCCTGTGCCGATATCAGTAGCAGACAATTGAGTGCATGCACCGGTTACTTCGTTTCGTTACACCACTGTAGTTTCGTTGAGCTGTTTCAAAAGTAAGACGTGTTTGTCATTTTAATAACACCTGGCCGAGCACTTCGAGAAGGTTGTACATTTAACAGAACATTGTTGTTAAGCAAGAGCTGTGCGCTCAAAAAAAATTTCGTGGGCTGTTCTTCATGTAAACACGCACAAAACATTCTCATCACAACGGCTCATGACACGTGTTCGCACAGTGTTCTAATCAAAAACACGGTGCTTAGTCGGTTCATCGTTCGTGGGGTACATAAACAAAACAGCCTCGTATAATACTATGAATCAAATGCCACTGACATGTTCGTCGTATCATCATCATGGCGCACAAAAAGTTGTTTGTTCCGGTGCGATTAAGAAAGTCGCGCTTGTCACCAGGTGTTCGGTGTTATCACGGTCAGTGGAACATTTCCGTTGGAGATTTCGCAGCTGTGAGGCGATAAGCCGAGGACCGCGTGAAAAATGTGCCAGTGACATAATTCGGGATTCCCCTGCGTACCTCAATGTTGCGGCAACTGTGTCGGACTCGCACCTCGTTCAAACTGTGTGAAGAGAAAGGGTAGAATGTTTCGCCTTGCATGTAAGATAACGTGCGAGAGGACGGGTACGGAATGGACGAGGCAAAAACAAAAGTCGGGCCTAATTCGAAAAAAATCAAGGGCCCCCGTAGATGTTATTGAGAGTAAGTACAATCACATTGAACAACCTAGCTCTTCTAAGAAACTGATCGAATTATGTAACAGCCGGCCATTCTGATCAAGACGACATGCCGTTCCAAGGAGTCTGAGAAATGTATCCCTGCGCTTTCGCTCGGCTATTTGGTTTTCTGTGAGCGCAAATGTTCAGCATATTCATGAAGCTCAGAATCAGTTTATTTGATGTCAAACAAAGGGATAAATACATGCGTACTTCCGCAAGGATGTCTCGTTGTTGCAAACTGAAACAGGACTCCCTATGCATATTAACATAAAGAATAGCAGAAGCAAAATAGCAACATGCAGACTTACTAATGAAAAAAAAGCTAATCAAATGCAAGCAAGAAACTTACTTAGAAACAGTGTTATCAAAAAGCATTGAAGATGTAAGGAATGTGGCTTTGCCAATAAAAGTAAGAAAGAGAAGCAAAGTCACTTTCAAAAAGAGATAATACTAGTGTGCAAAATGATAAAACAATTTGAAATGTTACACACGCAATCAGGATAGCGATCGTGTTGCAATTGTTTTCTCAGTGCAACTGAACAATGCGCATGGGTCTCTCCGACAGGTGCCACCAATGCTTCTTGACATGTAGGTGACAGTTTGTGCATATCAGCGCATCTTCTTCGAAGTGTGCTTATGCTCTATTCATGCCCACAAGATCTGACTGAGAGGAGGTGACCAGATGAATGCTGTTCAACAAACAATGGCAGTAGAAAACATCCACTGAGCATAAGCCACTCTAATAATAATATCTGTGGTTTAACGGCACTAAACCACAAAAGTCACATAGCTATGAGCAAGATAATATGCTATGAATGCATGCACATGAAAAAAATGTATTGTAATCTCAGAGGTACGCAGCTAGTGGCACAAGATCTAAGTTGTCTTTAAAATTTGCAAGTGCATGCATATCAAACGCAAATTTCAAAAGTACCAATTTTTTGCAACAGAATTCCACAAGGACCAGAGGTACAATGCCCAAGTGTGCAGGTGTTCTGTTACACAGAGTTATCGTTGTTTGCTGCCAAACAGAAACTGATTTTAAGGTATACTACCAAATATAACTGAGGACACTATTGATAAGCCCACTAGTGAGACGTTATTTTAGTTTAATTTTGTTGTACATGAAAGGAAAAAAAAACTGCTTTCAGACAAAAACTGGGTGAAAGACGAACATGGCCCAATTCCCAGTGATGGAAGTGTTGCTCCAAAAAAAAAAAAAGATATGCTTCTCCAAACTTCTTCCAAGAAGGACAATTTCTTATTGTTTAACCTGCTCATAAGTCCTAAAGAAACTGAAAAAGTTATGTTTACTATCATATCAATGTGCTACTAGTGTGCACCAATATCAGCTCTGATCTCAATTGTGTGACAAGAACTGGCATATATTAAGCACATTTGGCTGTGTTTTTTATTTTTTACGTCAGCTGGGCTTGCAGGCTAGCATGGGGAAATGTGAAAATGAGCACAATTGCTTTTATATCATACCGATTATCTACTGTTTATTTGACGAGTTATGTGTGACTGTGGTTGCTTCTCAAATGTGGTGTTCAGATTTAGTGGTTTGGTTTGATTTCTGCTAAAAATGCTGGCATTTTAATTGTATAAATGATTTCACAGTAGATTTTCCCTACCAGTCACCTTTCACTTCACTTTTTTTTTCTTTTTGAAATATACATAGATTTTTGCCTGTTAATTTATTTTATAATAATATCTGCAAGATGCTTCGACGATGCTTTGAACTCCAACTAATGTATTGCAAATTTTGTATCCTCTCCTAAAACACCAATAGCTGCTCCAAACTAACATTTCGTCTACTCCAAAAACACTTATGGCTGCTCCAAAACAGTACCTTTCCTGCTCCAAAGTAAGCTTCGAAAAGTAAAAGGTCGCTTCCACCCCTGAGTTTTATGGGTTTTCTCTGCGATGTTGAGTTGTTGGTATTGTTCTTACATTTGTCACTAATTACTAATAACCCTCTCTAGCAACCTCCCTTGTCACCAGACCTCATTTGCATAATCGTAAAATTCGATTCACATCCCACTGTAAAACAGACAGTGTGCTAAGTGGCTTTTCATATGGGATGGCTTTGTTTAAAATTTAATGTAGCCACTCTTCATGATTTTTCATACAATCAAGCTCTATTATTGTACAAAATTTTTAAACGTGATGTTCTATATTAGAAATATCACAACTGTTTTTACAAAGGCCCTGCCGCGGTGGTCTAGTGGCTAAGGTACTCGGCTGCTGACACCGAGGTCGCGGGATCAAATCCCGGCTGCATTTCCGATGGAGGCGGAAATGTTGTAGGCCCGTGTGCTTAGATTTGGGTGCACGTTAAAGAGCCCCGGGTGGTCGAAATTTCCGGAGCCCTCCATTATGTGGTCTCTCATAATCATATGGTGGTTTTGGGACGTTAAACTCCACATATCAATCAATCAACCCTTTTACAAAGATACAAAAACGGCTCACAAGCGCACACTTATTCTGTGTAAACATATTTCGATCTGTGTTTCCTTTTTATCAGAGAGAGTATGCACAATAAACACGGTTTCTTAGCTGTTCTTGCTTCCGCTAAAGCATCTTTCTGAGCTTCTGTCATATGTTATCCAGTCATCTAGTTAGAATGCGTTGGCAAGGCTCTTCCAACTACTGTACGAATTAACACATTGGCGATTGTGCAAGACTCCCGTCCTCTAATTTGCTTGCAATACACAGGTTGTGTTGTTTGCAAAAAAAAAAAAAGCTGCATCAACAAAATCAGAATGAGCTTTGCATCTACCGCACCAAAATATGGACTTAAGAAAAAAAAGGTATTTCCTCAGCACATTCGAGGAATTGACGTGTTGAGCTAGGAATACACATTTGTTGGTTGTGCAATGAAGCAAAGGAACAAAAACGAGAAGCAAGAAGTGCACAAAGTATAATTGTTTGAGCAACAGCCTTGCATACTGCGTGGTGCAAGGCACCATATACATCAGGGGGCTTGAATTTCACAAGTTTTTTCATTATAAAAAGACAAGTAGTTGACATCAGTAGATCAGCTATGTAAGTTGCTGAAAGATCCACTTTATTCTTGAGAATTCCTTGCGAATATCTGCTTTTATAAGTTTGCTTGCAGTACTTGCGTGTGTTCTGTCCAAAGGTTAACAGTTATTTTACATTTTTTTTTCAAAGTTGCTATATCCCTGTGGTGCATGCTATCAGTGAGGCAGCGAGTGGTGCACTTATCGTGCAAACCACAACATGAAATTTAATCTTAACACATTGCTACAAGTGTGGCTATAAGGAGGAATGAATTAATAATGTCCTTTGTATGGAGGCAAAGTGGAATCTAGACCAAGCATTTTCTTTTTATTGGCACTTTATTTTTCATATAGTAGAAAAAACCCAGCAGCATGTGCCATTTAGGTGTTTGTAACCTGCATTTGACTACATTTCAGGCAGAAAGGCAATACAGCGTAGCCGTACAATTCTCAAAAACAATCTTATCGTAAATGTGCTAAAGGTAGAGTGACCACATCTATAATGATATGTTTGCATACACAAATTATGTTTTTCTTTTTGTTTCATAGCATCCAGAATATTCCGAATCCGTTACGAAAATCCCTGAAATTTCCATAGCTACACATAATCTTTTTTTAAATATTTTAGTGCAAGTGTACGGCATATTGGCGCATCCTAACTACAGGTTCATTTGCTATGATTTATTTTTTAGTTGTACTCAGCTTTATATTTGTATCAGACCTCTCATTACCACATATATATCCTGTATATGCGTGTGTGTGTGTGAGTCCATCAAAGAAAATGGCTTTGAAAACACTGACGAACATATCAGGCACAATTAGCAGTTCATAGTTCGTAGAGTTTGGGTCAGATGTATGGGTCATTGTGCTAACCATAGGATAATTAAAAGCATGACAATATAACGTAAAATGTACACATGACAATTGGCTATAGACAGACTCTAGGTCATGAATCTGCTCATCAATATTTTAGAAATAAACACAGTAATGCTGAATATGCAAGACCGTTGAAGCTAATTAAACAACACAGCACCGTGTCAATCGCATTATCACCCATGAATGTGAACGGTTTTCATAATGTGTCTTTGTTCTTGTGCTGTTGCTGGTCAATCTGTGCTATACGTGTCCTTTGACACAGTACTATAGTAGCGGTTAGTTTGTGTGAACTTGGTATGCATAAGCGGTGCATTGTTTTCAAAATAAAAATCTTGTTGAGAGTCAGCGCTGTGTATGTTCCCTTTCTGATGTGTCCTGTGGTTTTTTCGCGCTGCAATTTGAATCACGTACAACCAATAAGCCGAGCTTAACCCACTGCAGACATCCAGAAACCTTGTGTAACTTTATAGTTGAGACATTTAATTTGTTATTGAAATTCATAATTTGTTATGATGTAATTATAGGTACTTTTGAAGCATCGTATGAGAAGTCGTAGCGGTCTTTTTAATGCACTGCATTGTATCGTGGGTGTGAACAAAAGAAAGCCAGGCCTGCGCGGAGTGGGTGTGGTTTTCCGTCATGTGAGGAAAAGTTTTTGTAAAGCTACGTTTACGGAGGTAAAGGAGGTCACAAGTTTGCATTCGTTGACAGTCACGATTTTCAAATCTCCCGCTTTCCCAACAAGATCACGCACACGGTCGAATTGAAGTGTCCTAAACGTACAGGAATAGCCACACGGAGAGCCAAAAATATGCCTGACAAACGTATGCGCATAACTACGGAGTTTAATTGATCAAACGAGTGCGAGATGCGGGCGCAAAGTTTCCGTAACAACGCAAAGCGCGGCACGATGCTTCTTGTTTGAAAATGGCGGCTGACGAGGACATGGAACTTCGAGACTTGTTGCTCGAAACACTCGAGAAAAAAAGGGATCATCAACCGAATAAAGGTAATCTGAGCGCCCTTACGTTGTGTTTACTTCAAAACGGGTGGTAGCAGGTGCCGCGCAATTTGGGATTTTGTGTTGGAATAGTTTAGGTTTGCGTAACCTAGCAGCGCCTTGCAAACTTTTTTTCAATCGATTGAGAACGTTCGCAATAACGTTCGCGCATCGAAACGGAATTGTTTAGCGACGGCAACTTAAGCTTAAGGCTGCCTCTCATGTTTCAGTGCGGAGTCGCGTTGCTTGTATAAAAAGCAGCTTTTAGACGCAGGGAATCGAACTATATCAACCTCAATCCTGCTCGGCTGCAGAGCGTCGCAGCTGCCGAGTGCTCCGCATTTATTGGCGTGTACATGTACACCAAAAGACGCTACACGCGAAACAAACTTATGACTCTTGAAACACACACCCACAGCGTTCCAAAAGATGCTAACGGACAGTGAAGCTTTGCGGGAGAACTTGTTGCATGCGAGGAGGTGCAATGGACGGAATGCTCATTTCGTTTCGATGCCGTCCGGACATAGCTGTGGCCGTAGCAGTTTGTTCCGTCGGGACAAAATGGGACAAAATGCCATTTTCGTCACAAACAATGTAAAAAAATGCCAGCTCTGCGTAAACCACTGCTGTTCCTCCACATAGAGAATATTCGTGAATGCTCCATCTAACAGCGTTTACTTATTTTGGTGACTTCGAGTGCGTCGTGTTAGTTTGAGACAGCTTATTTTATCGTACAGACAGTTTGCGTTACTTGTTTCAAAACGCCCTGGTAAGTTTTGTCGGGGTTTCTGACATTGCTGCTTGGCTATTTACTAGTATACGCATGAGCCTTCAACTCGCAACACACACAGTATTTACATAAGCTGAAAAAAGTACTTGCGGTTCGAGCTAAAACAGGCTAGGGCAACCGTTTTTCACTGGTGACAGGCAGGTGCGCCAGTTGTTCAGTAGGTGGGGCTTCCACATATTCCTAGGCTGTAATTAAGTCCAGGCACCCCTTTGGAATTAATGCAGCAAGGAAGGGGGCTTTTTAGATGGTCAAAGAGGCAATAGGGAACTTTTTCCTTGGGAGAAAAAGAAGTACAGTTCATGCGGGAAAAAAAAGAAAACAATCTACTGTAAACACCAATGATTTGTGAAGCTGGAAAACCATGTGATGAAAAGTTCATGGGGTGCTGGTCTGGATCCCGTAGCTATCAAAATGGCATTAGTTTCACTACGTTGTGTCTGCTCCAACAGTGAATATCAGCATTCATAACGAAGGGAATCTCAGCATTCGTTTGTTTGCAGAATTACCTCTCGTTCTCACTCATTTGCAGTTGCAATGTTTGGACAAATCTCTACAGCTGCGACTTAATTTGCTCAAGTCAAAGATTCCTTTCCTTCTGTGTGCACCCTTAGGTTGTGCATCAGTGGCTTTATGTAGTGATATGATATAAGGAAAAACTGATTTATGCAACGCGTATATAAGAGAGCAAAGTGCAGTTTAGGGGAGGAAGGTGAGTGGAAAAAATGCACGCACCTCCCACAAGTGAATAATGATAAGTGGAACGAAGCTCTGGGTATCGTATCGGCGAGTAATCGTACATTACACTAGCGTTGCCTCATACAATGTAAATTGAGTGACATAAAGTGTATATGGTAATGTTAATTTATTTTGCCATGCTGTCATCTTAGGCAATTCAAAGAAGATTTAGAAAAAATTGCTGAAGTGGACAATATGTCTCAAAAGGGAATCCACAAACCCACTATCTTACTGGTGGTAAAGCACTACTTTAATGTGGGTAACTTGTTGGGACACATAGTGCTTTTCACGTGTGCCTTTGTGTTACTGGTTTTCTGGAGAAGTCTCATTATCTAGACACATTTTGGTAGAGATCGACTCATCAGTAGTCTTCTCGATAGGTTATTTTTGCTGGGAGCAGTGATCTCTTACATTATAATTATTCTATGTCTACGTTGAAGTCTATTGTAGAAGCTTTTTTGTGTTTATGTTTGCCTATACCAACGGTTCTATACCGTGACCACAATGGAAGACAACGCTAGCTCCTAAGGAGCTTTGCCCTTGAATAGAAGATAGAGAAAGAAGAGGCCATCTTTTTTAAATGTGTACTACACATAAACTTTCAAGTGTCAGGTCAGGGAACTTCTCACCCATTGGTAATGAAAGTTCATGGTGCTCTCTAAATTGTTGGAAAATAAATCTTACTTTTTTTGCATTCTGCCATCACTCTTTATTGTTTTTTTTTTATTACATATCTTTAGAGTAACATGTGGTCCTTCTAATGCAGGGGTGACAAATAACTTGAAAGCTGCTCCATGTGAATATTGGTGTAATGAAGCTATCTCTGTTTTGGTGTCATTATTCGAGCCTTCTTTTACGTGACCTCTTCTAGCGCTCTGATACTGCCTGCCCAATGTGAAATTCTAAGACGGGTTGGGTGTTGGAGTGGACGTTTCGACAAGCAAACTTGGCTTTTTCAAGGCTTCAACAAAAAGACGAGTCCGCTTGCCGAAACGTCCCCTCCAGCATCCACCTCCTTTTTTCTCATTGCAAGCTTCCCTCTTCTCCTTCATGCCTCTCATTTGTCACCCCAATATGTAATTTAGTGTGCCCTTGAAGCGCACCTTGGCAAATCGTGAACGGGTGAACCGAACAGGTTGATAGCCGAGAGGGCAAACACTCCATCACAGGCAGAACTACGGGCCAGCGTGTACCTGGCCCTTGACGAGCAGGAAGGCATCAGACCTTTCGAGAGGTCAGTCAAGCAGGCAGACGTTCTCGCCACGGACGAGGGCCGATTGGCAGCTTCGCTAGTGCGTGACTTCCTGCGATGCTGCAACCTCCACTTCACTCTCAGCGTCCTGGAACCCGAGGCAACGCTGGTATGTTCTCGTAGCTGGCATGTGCAGTCACTGCGGTGAATGAAACCTGGGCGGCCACCTGGTGCCGACCTGTAGGTAGGTAATAAACTTTATTAAGGATCCAACGCGGAATTACTGGCACGGGCTAGGCCTCCAGGAGCCATCGTTTGCAGAGCATCGTGCGATGTCATCGGCGATAGCCCTGGCTCACTGGACAGCCCAGATTTGGTCCACTGCACGTGGGCTGTCGTACTGGGGTACCTGCATAGACAGTGTCCCTTGCTCCACCCAACATGTGGCTCTCCGTGGTGCGGGCACGAGACAGCTGATATGGCGCATATAATTTAGGAGCGCGAGTGCGGTGCTCGCCGCCACTACTTGGACGAGCCAACCTGTAGAGCTTGCCTTATTTAAATCTTGAAAATTGCATTTGAGATACCATAGAAACTTGTCTCCTAGCTTGCCAGTGTAATTTTCATAACATGCTTGAGGGACCAGGTGCAAGAGTAGGCTCCCGTTTACGGTATTCAGCTTTCTTTGTGAGATCCAACAGGTCTTATTCAAAATTAACTGAAATTTTCGCTTAAGAGTTTGAAATACTATTCAGGAGTGCATCTTTCAAGCAGGACAAGAAGGCTGGTACATTCTGCAGGAATGTTGAGGGACTGCAAGAGCAGCGATACTGTAGAAAAAATCGTTCTACTGTGAAGCTGCACTAGGAATTCTAGAAAGATGCAGAGAACATAGCTGTGATAGGATATTCATGCTGGCTTGATGATGAAGCTGTGATAAAAAAATTATTTGAGTGGCAAATCAAACAGTCTGCCATACTAGACAGAGCAGATTCTCTATACTAGAAATGATATGCTGGTATTGGACATATCATTCGTAATGATTGAAGATTTCTATGTACATAGTTTTACTCGCTGGGCGTTCTGTAGCCCTCCCTTCCCCACTCCAAACAAGATTGGAGCAGGTGAGTGCCTCCTCCTTGCTGAAGCCTCCTTGTTGATGACATTTATGAACACAAAATTGCAACCGGTCTTGAGCTTCTTTCTCCTCATTTGACCATCACATTTAATAGCATGGTTTCCATCAGTAGCCACTCATGCTCGTTCACGTAAGCGTTTCCTACAATGTAGATTAGGACGAACCTGCATGCCTGTGGAAACTCCAGTGCTAGTTTTCTATCCCACACTGTTCTCAACAAAGGAAAGGCACCGCTAATGTCTCCTCGTACACCACCCACTTGTTTGTCACACGAAGAAGGCAATATATTGAATGTGCAATTTTGAGATCAAAGCCATATTATAAGGCATGTACTGTCTGATCATTTTAAAGTGTAACCAAGATTGTGCATGTCGAACTAGGACAGGGGGCACAGGCAGGACTGAAACAAGAAGAGTTGAACCCTTCTTTAGTGGCTTTAAGGGAGCCCGAAGTCAATTACCTATACTGAGTTTATTGCGAGGCAGCTGGTATGTAGCCATAGATAAAAACAGCACCTAGTAGGCATGAGCAAGAATATGCTTGCTTTTAAGTTATATTGCTGCTTCATCGTGCTTGGTTCTCTTCTAAACCTTTTTATGTGTTCAGTGCTTCTGTCTGCACTTCGTGCAATGCGCGCTTTCTTACCTTCTCTGTGAAACGTGCTATATGGCCCCACTTATTAGCCAATCGGTGGCCCCTTGCTACCCCTACAAGGCCGAGCTCTACAGACATGCCACGAAGTCTCGCGCACATTGCTGTGCAAGTCTACTTCGCACTGCTTTTAACTATCAGTTACAGGGCACAGTCAACACCACTGTACACGTGGGAGAGTGCCATGCCATGCACATTGTCTGTCATACTCAGCACTATAGCAGTTGCTAAGAGTCGCGAAAGAGAGTGTAACGGGTAGAACTGTAACGTGCCGTTTCCTTGACACCTTCGTGTACCAGGCGGATCCTCTCAGCCGAGGGGAACTGTGCAGTCGACTTGGGTTGGAGGAACAGAAGGGTCCACTGCTGCTCCAGCTGCTTCGTCCTGTGCTGCTGGAGACACCAGCACCACAGGTATGTGTACGCATACAAACATTACTTCTCTCAAGAAGCACTAGGATTTTTCGATGATACACTATATTGTACGAGCAGTAGAGCTGTGCAGCCGCGCCGCCGCAAAGTTCCGAAAGAGGTCACGCCGCTGCCTGAACAATATTTTGCGGCGCGCCGTCGTTTCTCTTATTTTTACCCGAGCGGGAATCTGGACATAAAATACATCACTTCACCTTCTTTTTTCAGCTTTATTATTTCTGAGAGCGGCGCTAGCAGGTGTCTTGACTGTTCTCTTTTTTTTCCGTGTTTGCATGCCTTGTCTAAATAAGGATCCTACAACAGTTTCATGAGATACACAGTCGAGTATTTTATTCGCTCTCGGCATTTCCTGTTCTTTTGGCGCTCTTCGTGATGCCAGAACAGTGATTCATGTAGAATGATTAGAGCGATCGCTCTAGAATGGTTCATATACGAGAAATATCAGCTGCAAATTGTTTTACACTCTGCTTTGCCACGCGTTTCCCACCCGCCAGCCCCGTTATTCCTCGCGTCTTGCAGAATTATCATGCGCGATGAACTAGTGATTTTGCTGCATTCTGTGAGTTTTCGATTGGGCAAGGGGAAATAAAAATGGTGTAGCCGTGAAGTTTGATATCTATCACTCAACACTTAGCACTCACATTGCACACACGGTTTACGAAGCCATAACTGTCTAAGCGCTTGTAAAAATTGAAAGTTTATTGAAATTGAAAGTTTATTGAAATTGATTGGTTACAAATGGTGGTTACAATGGGGTTTACTACTGATACAGAGGGAGGTCCCAAAGTCAAGAGACTGTACAGGGGACCTCCCATAAGAGCTGAGTAAACAAAAGTACTTTAACGCAACAAAAAATGTGTACACAAAGTAAACACTCAAAAGAAGCAATTAACACTGAAACATCGTTGGATTATTTAAAAATTACAAAAGAAAGCAGAGATGATGAAATGATGAAATGACTATGCTGAATGCAGATAATTCCGAAGGTTGATTTTGAATGCGTGGAAATTGGAGATATTTTTAACATGGCATGGTAATGAGTTCCATAGTTGTGTGGCTGAAAAGTTAGTAGTGAACTTACCATAATTAGTTCTGGGTTTCGGTAATAAGAAGCTATTGCTGGATGCGAAACGTGTTGACAAAGAGTAAGGATACTGGCTTTTGATGATTATAGGGAACGGGAGCTTTCCGCTGATGGATTTGTGGATTAGTATTGCGAGGGAATATTTATGTAGTTTTCCCACCGACAGAATACCGTTAGAGGTGAGCAAAGGCAATGCTTCTGATGTGTAGGTGCTATGTGTCATGATGCGAATAGCCTGATTTTGAGTGTGTTGCAATGGAGATAAATGGACTGGATACGTGTTTCCCATGATGATATGCAATAATTAATATACGTATGAATGAAAGCGTAATAAAGGGATATTAGTGTGTTCATATGGAAAAAATTGCGAACTTTAATTAATATCCTAATGCCCTAAGCTGTCTTCTTTGTTAACGATGAAACATGCTCATCAAATTTAGGTGCTTATCTAATGTGACTCCGAGAAACATGACACTGTCAGTAGGATAAAGTGTGTTTGAAGCGAAAGTTAAAGATGGTGATCCTGAATAAATCCTATGCTTAGAAGAAAAGATGACGAACTGAGATTTTGTAGCATTTATCTGTAGTTTATTTTGCCGGCACCAGGTAACTATGCTGTCCCGCGTCGTGGTTAAGCTTGTAGATTAATGAATCAAGGTGGTTGTCTGAGCAGAAAATAGTAGTGTCGTCAGCGTAAAGAATACAGTCAGATGATTTTAGGCATTGTGAAAGATCATTGATGTATATTAAAAATAAGAGAGGTCCTAATATTGATCCCTGCGGTACCCCAATGTTACTTGTTTTAGGGTGTGAGTAAGTGTTAGATATAGACACAATATATTCTCTATCTTTTAAGTAGTTACGTAGTAATTTCAGTGGTGGGCCTGCTATTCCAATAGACTCTAATTTAGCAAATAGTATATTGTGAACAAGTGAATCGAATGCTTTAGATAAATCAATAAAGAGCGCCCCAGTCAAATTACCTGCATCAATTGCCTGCCGGATTTTATCTGTCAAGTAAATTAATGCTAAATCAGTTGAGTATCCCTCCCTAAATCCAAATTGATTTGTTGATAAGACATGAAATTTTGAAAAATAGGAAGACAAGCGTGTTACTATTAGTTTTTCAACAACTTTGCTAAAGAATGAGAGTATAGCTATAGGTCGATAATTAGATGTGAGACGCTTATCTCCCTTCTTGAAAACAGGAATTATTTTGGCTTTCTTCAAGGAACTTGGAAAAATTCCCGTGGTAAAAATAAGGTTTACTATGTGACAAAATGTTTCAGATATTAAACTTGCTATGAGTTTTATGAGAGAGGGGCGGAAATTATCAATACCGGGCCCGGTATTTTTTAGACTAGAAATGATAGTGACTATTTCTTCAGGTGTCACGGGGTGAAGGAAAAAGCTGTGAGGCATGCGTGGGTAAGACTGGGTCAGAGGATCGTCTTCCCGTTGCTTGTCTGTACAGAAGAAGTTAATAAAAGAGTTAGCAATGTCTAAGGGATTATCGAGAAGTAGGTCTCCCGATTTTATCATTGTTATTTCGCTATGCTGGTTGGATCTACCCAAAAACGAGTTTAAAATTTCCCACTGTTTTTTTACATCATTACCGGTACACTTAATTTATTTTCATAGTACTGTGTTTTGGCATGTTTGAGTAGTTTTCCTAAACGATTAGAATATTTTTTATACCTATCATGAAGCGCAGTATTGAACGGTTGTTTTTTTGTTTTCTGTAAAGGTTATCTTTTTTCTTCAGGCAATCAAGCAAACTGCTAGATAGCCATGGGTTACGAGGAGCTGAGAACGGTTTTTTACAGTTCATTATTTCGGTAGAATCTGCAAGGGCATTGGAAATTATCTTTGAAAATGTATCGTAGGCAGTTTCAGGGTTATCGCACGCGATGACTGGGTTCCAGTCTGTAGCAGATATTAACTCAAAGAACTTTGTTGAATTGAGCTTCTTTCTGGTTAGGCCTGTGACAATAGCGCAAGGAGTGTAATTTAAACGCACAAATATTGGATAGTGATCGGTAACAGAGGCTTCGACAACGCCGCAGTCAGGGTTAGTAAGGAGATTTGATAAAACGTGGTCAATAAGTGTACCTTGTTTATTTGCGGGACATCGAGTTGGAAGCGTAACTAGGTTTTCATACCCAAAGCCATTTAGGCAGTTAACGTATTCATTGAACAGTGTGTTGGATGGATCTAGGAGGTTAATATTGATATCGCCCATGATAATGACATTTTTCTGCTCCAGTGATAATTTGTGCAACAAATTACCAAGGGCCGAGCAATAAGCACTTCCACATGATGACGGTGAACGATAGATGCAACCAACTATAAGGTTTTTTTTGTCCTGTGAAAAAAATGAATCGTGAAATTCAACCCAAACAGATTCGCAGTTAGCCACTTTGAGTGTCAAGTCAAGTCGCCTATGAAAACGCAGTTCCGAGGACACGAAAACAGCCGCACCACCATGATTACTATTATCGCGGTGACAGTATTCAGCAGAGTATGAGGGGAAGGTATACAAGTGATTATGAGATGCGGAAAGCCACGTTTCGCTAATACAAATCACAGGAAAACTTGTGACTAGTTGATGATAAGAAAGTTGTGATACCATCCATGTTTTTTTGCAGACTGCGTGCATTAAAATGAATTAGTGAACGGCAGGGCAAGGAAAAATAGGTCTGAAGTTCGTGAGGTCGAATGTACGAAGCCATTTCACGTAACTGAAAGATTGACTACTAGACTGATTGCAAAATGTTAGGCGATATTGCATAAATCAGAATCGGAAGCAATGCGAATTACCCGACTGTCGGGAGACTTCCGCACCAAATCTGGCAATTTTCCGTCCAGATGAACTGCCATCCTTTTTCTTTCTTTAAGGCAAGTGCCCTAGAGAACAAGCGCTTATTGTCTGGTGATAGGTGCTCATTCACAAATATTGCCTGTGCGTTCTCTCCTGAGTACCCTATACTTCGAGTGTTCAGCCGCGCCCTTCTGGCTTTCTTCATGAACTCGTTCTTTTTTTCACGAGAGCAAAACCGCACAATTATATTCCTTTGACCGGACTTTGCAGGTACACGATGTACCGTGTCGACATCGCTAGCCGAGACCTTACAGTTGATTTTGTCGCCAATGGCAGTCAGGATTGCGGAACAATCCTCTCCTTGGGTAGAGGGCACCCCTTTTATTTCCAAGTTATTTAACCTTTAGTACTGCTCGAGGTTGGCGACTTTACTTTGAAGGGCCTCATTTTCTGCTTTTAGAGCGCGATTTGCGGCAGTCAGCTCGAGCTGCTGGGAGCGTGTCGACTCGACCACCTCGTTCAAGAGTTTTAAAACTGTCATCCATACGACCAACTTCACTCTCAATTCACCGACGTCTAAGCCTGCGTCCTGAAGCTTGGTTTGTATATTAACAACAAGCCGGTCAACCAATTCGTTCAATCTAAGTTTGAATAAATCTTCTAGCTCGTCTAAGCGCTTGCAGAGTTCGGCATTCGTCGGCATCGTGTAAAATGGCTAAACACGTGAGTACAAGTGAGTATAACAAGCCGTAACACCAACAGTAGCAGCAGCAGTTGCTAGACTAAGAAATTCTAAGGAATTGTCAAAAATGAAGCAACCAACCTGTGAAACCAAGGAAGTTCGCTTAGATGCGTGCTTGTGAATGCAACTGCTGCTGCTACAACAGTGATGCTTCCGCTGGGACGGCTTTTATGACAGAGAAACGGGCCGCGTAGAAGCAGCGTTGGGGGCGGCTTCAGCGCAATCTGCGCCAAGGCCAGATGAGTAGTCCTTTTCGCGCAGGCACGTGTACGATGCACGGATGAGAACCCAGGTAGTCGCCGCGGCTATCTGTGAAACCAAGGAAGTTCGCTTAG